TTCAATGCACTGTTCATCAATCTTGCGACACAAATAGGGTCAACGACAAGGCTTAGAAATAGAGAACACGTGTCAAGAATCAATTGGACAATTTGAAATAAGAGTGTCGTGCGACCAAAAGCCCTTGTTCAAATAACATTATTCATTGTCTCATTTCTATCACGTGGAATTATTACTGATTTAAACGTCGTTTTTATTTTTAGGATTGATTGCGTTCACACTCTTAGTCACTTACACAACCTTTACGTCTATTTTAATGATAAATGTTACTTATGTTGATCCAAAAGATTTGTAATGGATGAGATTAATGACACAATATGAAATAATAAAGATCACAAAGAAAAAAGTAAAGAAAACACTAAGAGAGTTAATCGCAAAGAAACGATGTATATTAACTGACAATATGGAAAGAAATTATAGACATCGCAATAATACTTCAACAAAACTGATAGAAGAGCCTTGTATTTATAGGTCACGTTTCAAACCCTAAAAAAATCCTAAAAGACAAGAAAATATATTAAGATTAAGAGACTTAATTTCAATGAAATTTTGTTTCCTTATTGTTGATTGCAGTTAGACACCTTTCCAACACCAACAACATGTTATTTAAGACTCCTATTTGAGTCACAACTCTAACAATCTCCATCTTGACTTAAATTCCGGTGCAACTAGTGGAGCTCCACAAAATTTCTCCACCTGAAAAATAAATTCGTTTGCATCGAAATGAAATGACAAATCTCCTCAACGCAGTGACCAAAACTTTTCATATAAACCATCGTCTTCTGCACGACGTCTACAAGAGACACCTGAACCCTACTTCCGGGTTTCCAAAATTTCACCAAGGAATTAATGTTTACCAAATAGGGTCGAAGCACACTCTGTAGTAGAAACCATACAAATGCCTGAACAGAAGACCCCCTGCTAGAACTGTTGCCTTTAACGTCCCCAAAAACATTACTGACACCACGGTATCTGCGCTCAATGAATCCAATCCTAACAACTGAATACAGTGCAATTACTGAAATTAGCGGCAAAGCGGAATCACCAACGCTCTCTGAGCAATGTTCTGAACCGACCCAGAGCCCGTCATAAGAGATACTGTACAAAACTGAATATCCACCACAGTATCAAACTTATCCATATGTCTCTTTACTAGTTCTGTGCTCCCCTGCAAGATGTACAACTGAGACATTCTCCGTCCTTCTATTACAACCTGAACACGCTTTCGGACCTTCAAGACTTCACCTCCACCAGAGAATTTATACCATTTTGCATCCAGAATATTAAGTGAGATGAGATTCCTTTTCAAGTCTAAAATATGTCAAACCTGATCAATTTTTCTGACTGTCCCATCCCCCAGTCTAAATTTGACCTGACCAATCGCAGCAATACAACAAGACTGGTTGTTTTCCATTACAACTTCACCTTACTGAACAGCCTCATATATTTGATAGAAATTTTGATTGGAACACATATGATGCGAACATGCCCAATCAATAATCCATTCCTCATCAAGCCTAGATTCCACGTTAGATACCACGGTAAACATCACATCTTTTCGTTTGAAATCAAAGGTTACGCTCCACAATTTGCAGCTAAATCATCTTTAGCTTGCAACTTATTGCAATCCTTCAGAATATGTCCCTTACGTTTGTAGTAGAAGCAAAACAAATTGCCGTTACTCTTCGATTTGCCTCTTCATGACCACCATGAGATACAAGAACTTCATCATCCTTCGTTGTAGCTCCAACCAAATGCTTCAACTTCTTTTTTGAGTGCAAAGTATCATAGACGTCATCTATAGTCAAATTATCCAGACTATACAAAATAGTATCCCGAAACGACGCATAACAGCCAGGTAGTGAACATAACAGGATCAAGACAAGATCCTCTTCATCATACTTAATCTTCAACGTTTTCAGATCTACAACTATTTCCTTGAACACAGCAATATGGTCCTCCAGTGATCCTCATTTCGCCATGCGATGAGAATATAACTTCTACTTTACATCCAGTTTGCTTGTGAGACTTTTAATCATACATAACTGCTTCAATTTCAACCATAAGGCAGCAGCTATTTTGTCTTTCAAGACATCCTACAGAATATTGTTGGATAAATGAAGATGGATCAACGACAAAGCCTTTCGATCCCTTCGTTGTTTCTCTTACATTGTCCAATTAGTTGGCATCTTCTCAAAACCCAGTGACACATCGTCCAAATCCAACTACATCAAAATAACTTTCATATTTATTTGCTACAAAGAAAATCTTGCGATCCAATTGCGAAACATAATACTTCATAGCAACTATCTCTAAAAGTACCTCAATCAATCCACAGAAGAAGAACCAAGGTTTGATACCACTTATTGATCCCAAAGGGTTTGTAATGAATGAGATTAATGACACAATATGAAGTAATAAGTATCACAATAAAAAAAAGATTAAAAGTAAAAAAGACACAAAGAGAGTTAATCACAGAGCAACGATGTATATTAATTGACAATATGGAGAGAAATTACAGACATAGCAATAATGCTTCAACAAAAATGACGGAAGAGTCTTGTTTTTATAGGTCACGTTTCAAACCCTATAAGAATCCTAAAAGGCAAGACAATATATTACAATTAGAAAACCAAATTTCAACGGAATTTAGTTTTCTTGTTGTTGAATGTAGTTAGACTCTTTTTCAACATCAACAACATGCAATTCAAGACTCCTATTTGAGTCATAACTCTAACAACTTATGCATTCTTTGTTTAATGGCATTAGGGATGGACACCGATCAGATTGGGGTCAAACCGGTTCACGAAATTAACTTTTCGAGTTAGGTTAAATTTCAACTAGAAAGTCAAG